CGTGTAGCAAGCAAGATTATCAGTTTTCTTAAAATTGAACTTTGGAAATATCAACATATTTTTCCATAAACTCATCAAGAAGAAGAGATGTAATTATAACTGCTGCCACACCTGATGCAATGCTGTTCAATGGCATTTTGCTGTCATGCAAACGTAGAAACAAAACCCATGCTTATAGGAGAATGCAACTGTTAAGTACTTGTAAAGATTAGCAATCCAAAGGTTAGTTGCACCTCTGCGTCTCAGGCATTAGTGATAAAAATTCCAGAAGATTTCAGCTATTTGAGGATAACATATAATAAATCCAAAAATTATCAGTGTCTTACTAGCATTCTTTGTACCACACCATCTCTATCCCTGTCAGACCCTTTGGCAACTATATTTTCACTTGGGAAGTAAATTTAAATAATCCAGAAGAAATACACATCTATTGTACGTGTCACATGTAGATGGAAAATGTTATGGGTTAAATGTGACCTGTATCTGCATTAGCAAAAGCCTGTAGCTGTAACTTGTCAAGGGTGCTGACTTCAGGGGCTGTATGAGGTCATCTATGGAAAAATGCCATGTCAGTACAGCAAGTGCCATTACATTGTTATTTACACATCTCTGGAAATTAAGGATAACTTCGGTTATATTAGGATGAAACTGCCTGATCCTTCTAAATCAAGATCAGATATTTTCTTCTAATATACAGTATCTGGGACTAACACACAGGTAGCACGGTGGCAGCGTTCCAGCTGCTGCGCAGCCTGCCCTGATCTGGGGTGCAGCTGAGGGGAGGGGAAGCCTGTAGGGCAGCGGGCTCCTGCTTACAGCACTCGGTGAAGAGAGGCCCTCAGTAACTTTCAAGTTTCCAGACTTGGTACCTGACTCAGGTAGCATAAACCAGCAAGCCCAAGCACCAGCCCAGCATATAACAGCTGGTTGCATTGCCCTAGGAGGAACAGGATTGCTTGTGAACTGGACCTGTACTTTGGTTCAACATGTTTCCTTTGAAAAACTTTGGCCTGGCAGGATGGAAGATTACAAGTTTACCTTAATCTTTGCTTATTGAACTTTGCCCCATACAGTGTAATGAGACTGGCCTTGCCTAAGGATTGGGAATAGGCATCTTTGAAAACAATAAGCACAAGCTTTTCTTATTTTAAACATCTCATTTGATGCAAGATTTTTTTCATCCCAGTAGAACTGCCCATCATCTCCATTTTGTTTCTGTTGCCTGGAAATACGAGTAGGCACAGGCAGCGTGCACTTTTAAACCGCTGCTGTGTGCGCATGCAGTCAGCGATGCACAAGTCCTGCTTTAGAGACTGCTCTGGACATTCTTTTGGCAGTGACTGAAGTCAGCTGCATCTCACTCCAGCAGGGAGAGCTGCAGGACAGTGGGAACCTGTGGTGGACAGTTGCCTATTTCTCACGTTGCAGGCAAGAGGATTTGCGGAGAGCACCTTCCCTTCAACACTTAAACACTCACTCACTGTATTTCACATTCTCCAGCTACAAAACCCAAGAAATTGCATCGGACTGTGGCAATTAAAACTTAAGCTAGTTACCTTAAGTGGTTCTTTCATATTCTAAAATGGAAGGCAAACCCCAGCCTTACCTCCATTTAAAAGGGAAAAATTAAACTTCATGTTTTGTTCCTGAAAAGCCAGGCCTTGGCTGGCTAATGTACCAACCAGCTCCTTCCCTAAAAGTACCACTATATAGGGAGAGGCTACACTTAATGCCTCATGATAGAAGCATTCATAAAACCATGTGGGACAGGTTTCCCCACCAGTACAGCACCAAGCCTGCTCTGCCATCCTGAAACTTGACCTTTTGCAATTCCCAGCCCTGCAAACGCTCCTCCTGACTACCTGAGAGCAGCTCACACACAGCCGCGGCAGGGCTGAACTGGGCATGCCGTTGTATTTCATCTGAGCAGCCTGATGTGGCCAAAAGCACTAAGCCAGACCTACCCATGGAACTTCAGTCTGTCCCTTCACTATCTTTCGTTGCAGCTCTGTATTCTTCTTGTTTATGCAGCAAAAGTAAATCAACCGAGACAATTTTACAACCAATTTCTGACCACTTCTATGCAACTGAAAAGAGGCTGACTTGTGTGTTGTCTTAGTAACTTCAGGTGATTTCTTACCCCAGTTTTCCTCTGTATCATTCCCAGGTGCTTGGCTACAATTTAATTGCTTGGGCACCTCTATAAACATTACATCTTCCTCCCCTCCCTGATCTGATCACGCACAGATTCTCAGCCTTGGTGCTTTACCACACACACTTAAAGCTCCTGCAAGTTGGTAAATATCTTGTCAGGACAGTACCTCAAGATGAGAGGAAGACAGTGCTACAGGTAGCTGCTGAAAAGACAAAACAATCCATTCCCATATGCCCAGCTCTGCTGTTAAAACACATCTCAGATCGTCGAGAATCTTGAAGGAAGATGAAGGTGCCACATGTGAGCCTACTGTAATGCACGGGGCATTCAATCAGATAGACATGCCCCATGGCTTCTGCTGTATCTCTTGGCATAAAGAGAAGTAGAGAGAACAGTTCCTTTTACTAAATAGATCAGAAAGTTCCACCTTGGGCACACGGCAGGGAAAGAAGGGTAGGGAATGAGTTATTGCTCACATGCATCAGCATTTCAAGCACCAAACCACTGGCTTTCAGCTCCCCCCGTCTCTGAATTCAGAGGGTATCACAAGTCACTGCAGCATCAGTCCTGATCTTCTCATGCTCTGCCTTAAACATGTCCTGCACAGGGTGTTTTAGCCCTGGGACAAGTGACCCAGTTCACACACTCTCCCAAAATGTGTTTTAACTCCAGTAACCAGACTTGCTTCATCTTACCGAACAACATACCTACCTCTTTGATGAAGACCCACTACTTTAAGGGAAGCATGGGCAAAGGAAAGGCTTTAATAAAATCGCAAAGTTTCTGATGCAAACCCACCCTAAAGGGTAAGACACTTGTATGTATACATACACACTTCTTAAGATATCACCTATATCCCAAGAAACCAGGTATTTAGAGATGGAACAGTGCCACACACCTACCTCTCTGATGGCAATGAGCTAGAAATACAAGCAGTATGATGAAACCTGACAAAATCCCAACCCCTGAACTAGCCAACAGTCAAGAGATGACCAGGGTGCAAGTGCTTTGAGATGCTGTGGAAGGACACCATTTGTGCTGGAGACAGTGCAACAGACACCATGCTGCTAAAAATACACCAGTGGAGTCCCCCATCACCTTCAACAGGCTTCGGTTACATCACGACTAGATTCTTTAAATTGTGAAAAATTCCAGCAGGCGCTTCACAACATTAAGTCACTGTAACTAGTAGCAACTACTAAAGTACCTTTAATTTTATAATAGATTTCCAAGGATAAGACAATATTTGTGCTTTTAAAAAAACACATAAGACCACTATTCAAACTAACTCCTACCTGCCTAGCTAGCATTAGAGAGCAGACAAATGCACTGCTGTGACTGGTCAAAAGCAGTACTTAGCATCATGTATAAGTCTGTAGTAGTAAAATATAAATGTGAAAGTTGCAGAGATTTCTTCTGCAACTTCACACTTACCTCTACAAACAACACATTAAATAGCTTCATTTTGCTGTTGATCCTAATTGTTTTCATATCAAACCAGCTTTAAGCACTGCATATAAAGTCTGTAAGGCTTCCACATTAGAATATGACCAATTGGTTTTGCTTTTTGGATTTTGAGCAAGAATTTTCAGCAAGATGAACCACAGCACCACAGTTATTTTACCCAGGACACACCCATATGGACCTACTATAGTCCAGCAGCATCACTTTTGATTAAAACAACAAGCAGTTGTCCAGTAAACAGTTAAAAGTTTAGGCTCTTCCCTATTTTGGGTTCCCTGTTTTTACTCGGTTCTAACCTGACCTCTGCTACAAATCCCCTCCACACAGGAGCTGAAACACACCACAGACAGATTGTGCTTCCAGGCTGTGGGAAAGAAGAGGCTGCAGGCTTTGGTCACAATGTTTGGTTCAAAAGAAAAGAAAACAAAACAAAACCCCCAAGAAACCACACCACCAAACCAACACAGGGCCTCACCTAGTAATCACTGACGGTGCTGCTAGCAGCACCCTTCCTTCAGGCCAATACATGAACATTTAGACCCTGGAACCTGAAATTGTAGCCTGTTTTCATACTACTGTGCATGACCAGGCATTGCACTGCTGTGGTCTTAAGAGATTGAGAAATGTGGCATTAAAGGTTTTTCTGGGCAGAGAAACCTAAGACAAGGATTAAGGACTGTCCTATTTGTGAGCTACAAATGGAATGGTCAAATTTGTAATGCTCCATGTTACTTCAGCTGCAATAAAAGGCAGATTCATAATACTAGAAGCCATATCTTCTATATTACAAGACTGCTACTGAGTAGATCTTATTTAAGCCATTAGCTCAGAATCCAAAGCATCACTGAAGAGCAGAGAAAAGCAGGTATTTCTGCAACCCACATGTCTTCAGTGGTCAACATTTTCAAAGTCTTTATAACACTGGCATTTATCAGTACCCAAAATAAATTTGGTAAACTTCCCTCACATTAAGTACATAATCACCAGGTAAACCTTTGTGGCAGAAGTTATGAGAACCATCAAAAACCAATACTGAAAGTAACTCAAATGGAGACAATATGTTTTATTAATACTCTTCCAGATTACATTTCTATTCCTAAAAAGAAAAACAGGAACACATCTAAATCTAAGAATTCCATTATTATTCAATCCTGGGAATGGAACATTGTTAGGTTGGACCATTTTATTATTTTCCATATACTTTAATTTCAAAATCCAAAAATAAAAGTCAAATACTAGCTCCAGATAGATTGTATATTGAACATGGTAGGTTGTTAATCACCACAGATCAACTTCCTGATAAAAATCCCTGATTAAGAAGCTTCCCCTCTAAATTAAGTTTATAAAATTCTCTGTTGGTGGCTCAGCCACTCAATGGTATAGGAACTGCTCCCAGCTTTCTTGTTGCTTAGATTATCCGGCTTTGGGGCACCCCGGAACCAAAGTCCTTGGAGGTGGGAGCCAGCAGTTTTCTCTTTAACATCATCTGTTGAGCAACATGGAACAAGACACAGTCTGCTTCGAGAAACCTTAAGAATCAGCTCTTGAAGAAACAGGAAAGGTGGCCGTGTGTTACAGAGGGAGAAAAGAGGAAGCCTCAATACTGATGAGAGTAGATCCTCAAAACTCAGCTGAGCCAGGTCCAGCAAGCAAGAAAACCACACAAATCCCACCAAGGGAGCAGGCACAACAGAATAAACAAACCAGACAATAAGCAGATCTCCACTGCAGAAGCTGTCCATAAATGTGTCAGTCCCATGAATCATTTGCTATAAAAAGTTCAGTGTCTCCTCTTCAGTGCTTGTTTAACTATAATTCTGTACATTATATACAAAAATGTGCAAGGATAGCTGCTTAATGCTTCCAATCCTTGTTCTTCTGCAGTGATGAAAAATTTTAAAAACCAGAGTCTGGACTTATAAATAGTGCAGAAAATGCAAATGCTAAGAAGACAATGCCTCCTATGATTGTCACTGAAAAGAAAACACAAACAAAAAAGAAATCAGATACTGCAAGTTAAATATCTTCCAAGACACATTACAAATTTGTTTTAAATGTCTGATTCACAAATAACATTACTTTAAAATTTATGCTGCAAACAGTGGACATCGTTTCTAGCTCAGTGTCAGGATGCCCATATGCCATCCCACTCTTTAACTACATCTGCAAGAATACATATTTTGGTCCTTAGAAGGAAGATTTGTTTTATTACTTTAGCTAGTATAAAACTGAGGTTGACAGCTGCTGTTGAATATTTGCCTGTATGGGGGAAAATAAGATAAAATATTCTCATGCTGGAGCAAGCCATCATTTAAGAGTGACATACTAATTAGTATTTTTTGCACACTTCAGGTAACTATATTGAAAGTATCAAAAACATTAACTGCTTGCAATGGCCACGATCTGCTAGAGGCTGAGACAGTATTCCAGGAAAGCACCACAGTATATGTTCTCCTACCCTTCTCTAAACAAACTAATGGGTTAGACTGATCTTTGTCTAACCTAATAAGGTTATTCCTGTGGAAAAAGATCCACACTGAGCTTATTAGGAGCATACTACATAATTACTAGATTAGCATTTCATCACCAATTTCCTTGGGAAACAAACATAGTAGAATGCATGATACACTTTTTACAGTGAAGGGCTTTTTTACAACCTCTGCAGCTACAGAACAAATATTCTGAATGAACACTTATAGAAAACAGCTTCACAGAATCCTTCCCGGGAATCCTTCCTGGGAGCAAGGTATCTCACTACATCACAGGACTGACAGTTGAAGCAAGCTGCAACATAATCTAGGCAAAATCAAACAACTTAGTGCAACCTTACTGGTCCTTCCTGTTACAGATTAAAAAAAAAAAAAATATTTATGCCACACAGAGTAGCTTTTAGAGCTTTTATATGACTGGCATAACTTGTAAGTATGCAGTTCTCTTGCTTACCTGAAGGCCTGCACTCAGAGTTACAACAGAATTTCTGTTACCCACTGTTGAACAATACATACCAACTATTCAAAATACTGTATTTCCTTCCTCTGGTCTCCTACAAGCTAGCTATAGTGAAGCAAAATGTGCTTCACCTGTGTCCACCTTTAAACCTGGAGCTACAATAACCATTTTGATTCCTTAATTCAAAGTCAGTAAACCATTAAGTTCAATTAAGGCCAGATGCCTTAGAAGCACCCTGTGCAGGGTGATGGCACATGCTCATACTCTGCCTGGAAGGAGGGACATCCAGCCCTGGGAAAAGTCCAAAAGTTTAAAGAAACACTGTTCCCAAGCATGTAGTCATTTACACCAAACATTACCAGCATTAATGCTTTTTTTTTTTTTCTGTTGGAGTGAGTTTTCACTTACCAGTCCTAACAGAAATTTTTTGTGCTATCATTCTCCCTCCGATAACTGCTAAACCTGTGCACAGACAATGTCCCACTGTTCCTCCTACTGCCACACCATAGGGGTCCTGAGGAAAAAAAACACAGAAGGGAAACATCAGCACAGTTGAAAAGCCACTAGTCCTACGACAACCTCCTGCCATGAAGGAGCAATGCCTTGATGTCCTGGTTGCACACTGTCACGCATGGAGGATATTCTCTGGTGTTTGCTCTGCTATCCATCACTACCTTAAAGACTAGTAACAGTGTACAGCATGTAGAGAGACTGACTTAAATCTAAACCTGACTAATATGGCATGTTTCAACCAAGAAGTATCTTCAAGTTGTTAAATATATATCCAGAAATTGCTCTGCTGTACTTAAACAATTAAGCAGCCTCTAGAGGAAAGGTGGCAGCTGTTGAGAAACACAATATGCATCAGCTGGAAGAACACCAACCTAATTATGAAGAAAGAGAAAAATAAATCCATGAACTACAACTTAAAGCTTTCACCAGCTAAAACATTCCGATTCCTTTGTCCAGCTTCACAAGCTGGTGCTCTACACTCTGCCCCCCCCCCAATCATCCAAAGAGGGAAGTATGAAATAATTTAGGCCCGAAGGATAATAATTTTCAAAGTTTATCATCAACAACAGCTTTTACATCACTGCATAACAAGCAGCTACTCAATATGTGAACAAGACTATGCAAAGAGGTTTCTCAGATCTACTTACAAATTACAGAGGTAAGGGCAGCACATTTATTGAACACCCCATTGTCCAGGGTTAAGCTGAGGCAGAGTTAACTTTCTTCATAACAGAAGACTTCAGCATTAGAAACAGAAAACAATCTTTTAATGGCCAATAACAAAGGCAAAGTAGGAGCGTGACTTTCTGCTGTATAAAGATGAATGAGGGAGAGTGGAGTTGAGTCCCCTACATGTCTCTAAGTGACACTTTTACCTCTTAAGAGGTTAAAAAAAAAAAAAAGCTGCTGCCATCATATGAGGAATGCACGAAATCTCTAACAGGCAAACAGCAAAACTGTCTAAGAAATGATATGGTATGAAGAAAAGACAACATTAACTGCCCAAAAGAACCAAAACCACAAGCCAGTGAGAAAAGGTGGCGAGCACCAAGCAGAGAACAAGCAGGAAACCACCAAGAAGCACAGGTTGGAAGCAAGGCTGTGCCAGAAGAAAACACTTGCCTCCATGATCAGGACCCAACGTTCCTGGAAATTCCTGTTTCCCTGCAGTCAGCAGTTACCTGTACAGCCCCCACTGTCAGAGGATGGATCTCACCCCCCACTTCATTCCCTAGAGCTGTCCCAGGAAGGTAACAAATTACAACAGCTTCCCTCAGCATAGCATCTGCAGAGGCAGAAGTGCTCAGGCACAGAAGCTGAGACAAAGCCAGTCTAGTAGGACACTACAGAGTTTCCATAGAAGATTAAGGTGTAAATCAAGTTCTTAAAGACTGTTGTCAGGACTAGGTTAATGAAGACAAACTTAACTCATTCCCCTGGTGTACGCACTGAGAAAGCCAAATTATCATTCTTTTGTTCCTCCAAAGGAGCCCTGTTTGTTTGTTGTGACAAGATGGACACTATTTGCTTAATGAACAGTCATGTAGTATTTTGTTTTCTTTTCACTGAAGAATGTATGGTCACACCTGACTTACCACACTGCTCAAGTCTCCATATAAAAATAATTTCTTTCCTCATAAGCATTTCTGTAATGCTCCTGCTACGTATCTTCGCACTTCACAGATAAGGATTTATCTGAATATATTATGATACAAAGGGGTATAAAAAAATCCCACAGATAAAATGAAAAAATATCCAGATCATAACCATTCACTGATTTTGAAAGCTAAGATCAAGATATCTTCCATTCATTTTTTGTAGTATTTTTTTTTGCAGCACTTATACAAACATTGATATGCTAAAGGCACAACATCCCACAGTCTTTAGTTGCAATGTTCAGCACTTCACAAGCCAGACCAGAGTCTGACGGACATTTCTTAATGGGACACTCAGAAAATGCAAACCCGAAGTCAACAACCACCTGTGAAAAGATGGGCTTAAGCAACTTGCCTAGCACCATATAAAAACTTGGGCAGAGGCAGTAATGATTCATTGTTTTCCAAGATGGCATGTAACTGCCTGAACAATGAGGTCATCCTCTTGTCCTGCTGCTCTCTGCCTTGTTAGCTCTAAGCACCTTCTCTACACTGTAACAGAGAGAAGAGGTTCACTACAGATCATAGCTCCTTCATTACACAGCCCTAATTTACCCCTAGGGAAGGTCCTAGGGAAGAAATGTAAACTATCTCAATGAATGAAAGAGCACAGGCAAGCTACTTATGTTTATTAAAAGGCTGACTATAGTCTTAAATTTTCCTTTAAATATAATACAGTTATATAGATTCCAATCATCATGCTGAATATAAACTCATTTACAGTATTACTGTACAGCAGTTTAGAGTTTACTTTAGTTCTATACACTGTACCATATTCACTTAGATTTTTAAAAAGAGGGATCTTTTTAACAGCTTTAAGTTCGCTGGGATGAAGGTCTCTTTTTAAAGCTACGGTGTTAAAACTGTATGACCACACAGATCAAAGAAACATCTGTTCTGCAACATCTCTCAACACGGTAACAAAAACCAACTGTATTCAGCTGCATGGCATAAAACAACTATTTCCAGAAATGCCTTTGCAGTCTCAATCACGTAACAATAGTTTTACTGCTACACAACGCTTCAGTGTATTTATTTTCAGCTCTCAGCACAGGTCTAACACCAAGGAAGGCACAGCAAGGCAGCAGGTATGAATCTCATACCTTCTGCAAGAGTATTTGGTCTCTCCTACCTGCCTGCAGGCAACCCAAAGAGGGCAAAAGAACAGCCGACATACTGCAACACTCACCTCTCTGGCGGCCAAGACTATGGTTGTTAATTGAGAACGATCACCCCATTCTGCTAAAAATGTTAAAGTAAAAGCTTGAACAAAGATTGGAGAAATAAAATGTAGCCACTTCTTCTGAGGTATAGTGGTGCCTGGCCCTGATTCCACATCTCCTGGCCCATTTAACAGTTTAGTTCTCTGAAGCTGTGGAGGACAAAGCAAAAAAACAAATGAACAACCATAAGATTAGAAATGTCATCTAAACAACCCAAATTAAATACTTAAACAGTAAAGCTAGCCATTTAGTATCTAGAATGTTATTAGCCACTGACTGCTGCATTATCAATGCATTATTTATATCAGACACCATTTTAAAAAACTAACTACGTATATGCATGCACGTATGTGTGTGTACATATAAACACATATATACTTGTAATCACCTCTGACCTCCAGTTATTGTCCATCTTGTTCTGCTTGCACTTATACAGCACTTTCAGTAGGAATGACACCTGGTTTCTAACCACAGATTTTCTCCTATTTTTAAAGCAGGGAACCCCCTCTTTCCCAAGTGGTGCCTCTCAAGTTAGGATTTGATAACATCAACAAAAAAAAAATCTTAAAAGAAATAAGATTAATACTCCACACTATTAATTAGAAGTGGACCAGTATATTTAGAAAGTTATTATAACAGAGACCTTTACTGCAACACTACAAACCACAGCATTATTCTGCTTGACCATAAAAAGAAATAAAAAGTAGAGGCTAGAGTAAACTGTTGATGTCCCCTCTGCTAGCAATGCATTAAAAAAAAAAAAAAAAAAAAAAAGGGGGATGGGAAT